AGTGTTTACATTGATGATTGTGATAACGGGACACCATGGTGTCTCCGGTGTTTACTTTTCTGTTTGTTTTTCTGTTTCTTTTGAGTTCGAACAAAAGAATAAAGACATGATGCCCTAAGTCATCGGATCGTCATGAGGGGGAGAGTGGTCCACATGCTGTTAACTATCAACAAATCATCCTGGGACACTTCTCTCCTCCAACACTCTCTCTACTATCTCTGCAACTCAAATGGTCAGCTACACTCACAAGTCAACCATCATTATGTTCCGCTGTGCCACCGACAAGTTCTCCTCAAATGCATTCATTCCAAATAGTCAAAAAGACTACATTGTGGAGGAGACAAAGGTCAAATACTCGTGTACTGAAGATCAATCCCGTGCGCCCCTGATAATCATCAGAACATTCATTCTAGAGGCATCACCGGACTTCATCCAAGCTGATCAAGAGCAACTTCTGGAAGGCAAGGATTACAAGAAAAAGATTCCTCAAACCCCGTCATCAATGATCAAATTGCCAAGAAAACATCAAAGGGGAGATTGCGAGGATTTCTTCATAAAGCCTTCTCAAGAAGTCAAGTTCAAAGACAAAGGAAGCTCAATAACAATAAAGACAAAGATATCCGTGCTGCAATGCTGATTCAACACGATTGAACACAAAAGGGGAGATTGTTGATAATATCTTATGGTGTCCAATCTAGTTAAATATCTTTGTATTTGTGTAGTTATTAATTAAATGTGTAATATGGGCCACAAATGTATATCAGCCCGTTAGCTTCTTTGTAACCCATAAGTTAGCCATCCTCTCCTATAAAAGGAGGCTAACTTACGGGAAACCTAACGATTGATGCTTTAGAGAATAGAGGCGTAGAGATAGAGAGATTAGGGTTTGCCGCTGCTCTCCTTCTGGAGGGAGAGCAGCGGCAATTATCACGGTATACCAGATTCGTTGAATATCTCATATCTTTCTATCTGCTTCTTCTTTATCTGCTATGATTGTGTGATTGTTAGTATACTGGGTCTATAAGTGATTATGTTGTTTCGATTTGAAATTTTATTCATAATATTGTGTGAATTTATTTATTATACTTCCTCCCCTCTTTTTTAATCGCTACGGTCCAGTTTTCACGTTTGTCAACGCACAAGTTTGACCATTAATATCTTTCATTCGTTATTAGCAAAAAAAAGTTTAGATTTTGAAAAGTTAAAATGAGAGGAATTTAACAATATTTTTTTGAATTTAATTTATAATACATCAATAAAAAATAGAGTCAAAGTAGAATACATGAATAGTGCAAAAAATCCAAGGTTACATTTAAAAGAGAATGGAGGTAGTATATATATATTTTTTTCTACCAAATTAATAATTTAAATTTGTTGTTCTATAATTTGTTGTTCTAAAAATGGGTCAAAACTATAATAATCAAAACTTTGGGTCACATTTGAAATAAGAAAAGAAAAGAAAAGATGGCGCAAGTATTGGTGTACGCCATATATGGCGTAAAGCCAAACCCACTCCCCCAAAATGGTGAAATGGTGAAAGGGATGGTGTAGCTGTTGGAGCAAAAAATTGACAAATCCACCATTTTGATGTATGATTTGGTGATTGTTGGAGAAGCTCTAAGAATGGATTGAGATGTGTCATTTCTCTCAGCATCAGAATGTTGCCCAATATTTCCTAATTTTTTGGAAAGCAGATTGTTATTTGGAGATAATCAAAGGCAGAAACTCAGAGATCATTCTATTGGTGAGATTTAGTAAAAATTTTGTACAGAAAATTGATTAAACTGATAGCTTTAAATTTTGAAAACTGGTTAATATTCTGCTCCTTTGGAATCAAAATGATCAGGGTATGACTCACAGATTTAGGAATGGGGTCACCACACAGAAATTCACAAACAACACTGAAAAGATCCTTTTGGATAATATTAAAACAATACTTGTAAAAGTTACCATTAAAACCATCACCACCTGCAGCACTATCCTTACTGTGATTGAAACCAACCTGTTTTATCACCTTCATGGTCACATGTTGAAGGAGATACTTATTGTGATCCTCTGTAATAACCGGACTAATAACCTGAAATACTACAATAATCATCACGAGTAAGCAAATTGGTAAAGTAATTAACACCATCATCACAAATAAACTTATTGTGATTCTCCTGAATTTTGTCAATTTGCAACTTTTAATATTTGGCTTTTAAAGAGGTGAAAAAATGCGACTATTTATAGTTCCCCATGGTGGTTGGGGGGCTGACGTGGCTGGCTGTGGGCAACATGATCCCAACCACCAAATCTTCCGCATTTAATGCGCTTCCCGCCAGGATCCTGGCTTCCCGCCATGATGTGGGGACGTTCGTCCCCTCGGCTGGACTCAGCCCTCCGGTGGCAGTCTGGACCCATAGGTGGTAACCCTTGGGACGTTTGCTCCACCCATCAATAAGTAGAAGGATGAAACATCTGGGAAGCATTCCTCAACTAAAATAAAGAATATTGACCAACCCATAAAATTTCTAAATATAGATGATTGGATTTTGAACTTACCGAACAAGAGCTTTGCTACAACGCCATGAGAGATTTTCCGATTAATTGGAAAGTTTCTGAGGTGAAGGAAAAGGAAAACAAAGATATCAGGGTGATTGGTTCCCGGTGGATTGAAATAAGATGTGCGGCTACTGTTGGTGGAAAAGAAATAATAGGCTTGTATATACTACTCCTTTTAGGGTTCTTAACCAAAACACAGATTCGGGCCAAGATAAATAATTGATCTGGGTGTCTTAGCCTGCTAAAAACAATGCTTCTAGTTGTTCCGGAAAATAAAATTTTTACCCGATTGAAAAAGTATTTTACCATTAAATATAAACGGATAACTCTAGCAGATTTTTTTAGAGCTTAACGGTGAACGTTATCTGCCACAAAAAATGATAACACAAGATAAAATAATAAATCATAGAAGAAACTTATTTAACTAACTAAAATAATTAATATTGATTAATATAACTAGCTCATAAAAATCGGGGCGTTACAACCCCTCCCACCTTATAAAAGTTTTGTCCTCGAAACTTAAACAACCTGGTATAGTCTCACAATATTTCAATCTAGACTCCTCACTTGGCTTTAGTAAAACTGTAATAGCTTTATACCTTTCACATGGCTACTTCCTTTATTTCTTGAGCATATAACTTAAACGAGAGAAGTTTGTACTGAATTTTCTTCTTATTACTAAATTGATCAAATTTCCAAGATTGGCGAAACACACAACTACTTCATATAATGAGCAAAACAAGGACAAAAAAAAAACTCTCACTGTTTAAATCCAGTTCTCGTGATTTCTCATGATGGTACAACACAAAAGCTCTAGCTCACATCAATCTTTATAAATGAATTACTTTAACATGCTTGCTTATTAATATGCAAAAAAAAACAATACTAAACTTTAACCTTGTTATAAAAACTTATCCCACATGCTATTAAAAATGAAATTCAGAATCACATTCTATAGGTGTGCTTACATAGGTCAACTTGTCTTTTGAATTGGAGAATAAAACTCTTTCTAAAATTCATTCTTGATTGTTGACATTCTGGCATTATAATATATGCAAAAAAAAATGTGTTCCATCCTCTCTCAGTTTAAAGAGTTCATCCTCACAATAGGATTATGTAGTGTGGAAGGATGGAGTTATCTCTTTCACCGTTTTCTTCCTTATGTCGAGTTGATGGTTTTAATTATGCTATATTGCCACTTTTTTTTCTTTTTTTTATACTACTATCTCACAATCTGTTCTTAATGACCATGACAGGGATTCTCTATCTAACCCTAAAAACTGCTAAAATTGCACTATTTTAATGATGTTAAAAAATTGGACGATGTTATAAGCATTGTTGTATCTGTGAGACAACTTTTGTACTCTCTACTATCAAGACTGCTCAGCATCGGGAAAAACCTTAATCTAGCTTATGAGACATTCTTCATCTCAAAAAATCCACTATAGTTTGACTTAAATATTCTATCAAAAGGAATTCTTTTTTTTAACGTCTAAAGTAGATGAAACTGCTAAACCTTTTTTTACCCACTTAAGCATCTCAAAAACATCTTTTCATTAAAAGAAAAACTTTGTTATGGTTCTGTACCTTTGGAACTAAAAACTATAACTTCATTGATTAGTGTCCCTAAGTAGTCAGAAAAGTTGATTGAAATTTTAAAATAGATTCTCCATTATACTTTAGAATTTCAGTTTTGAAGAGAACGTGTTCTAATGAGGTGAGCAGCTGTCTTATTTAGTCTTGAACACAATTTACTAATTGAGGCTAATTGCCTTGATATTTAGCGGAAACTTTCTTGTTGGTAACTCTTTTGTTGATAAGTTATGTTATAAGCTTTGAACTAAATCTCCTTGGACTCCCTTTAGAAAATCAGTATGTGGATTCACATTAAATTTTAACACTATTTTGCTTAGTTTCAAATATTCATATTTCTTAAATGAACAACGTAATAATTTTTTTTTTCTGTTTAACAAAAATTGACGTTGTCAAACACATAAATGTCTCTCACACAAAAATTTCTTGACAACATAAATTCTTTTGTTTTCATTAATGACAACATATTCTAATCTCTTAGCTACCTCATTAACCTATAGAAAGCTTAAGGAAAGTACTATTTTTTTTTCTTCCTCTCTCAATTAAACCCTTCATCCCTTCACTAATCAAAATGTGATGTCTTCAAACATGTAGTCTAAACGAGACAAAAAAAATAATTAATAGTTTAATCGTAAACTTCCTTTAGACCGTTCATTATCAATAGTTATTTCTTCACTGATATTCCACATTATTGTTCCTTCTAACCTCAATATTCTAACTATATAACTTAGGAAGTATTGTTCATTCATAGCGGTAAAGTTTATTAGCCTTCCAAACAATAAGGAAGTCAAACAGTAAGTAACACATAACTCGACAAAAACTGACAAATGATTACATGTTAAATCATCTGGTAATAAACTGTACGGGAACGTACCTAAGACTAACTTAGACTCAACAAAGAAAATGTTTTCCGCAATAAAATTCTATTGAGTCCTTTTTTTAAATAGCCTCTTTATTATTATGCTCTTAAGATTTTAATTGCAGTAATAATCAACTGATCAAGGAATCTACACTGATATCATTCAAAAGAAAATCTAACATCATCGCTAGGTCCTTCCTACTAGCTTTTTATATTCTCATTGTTGAGGTTTATTCCCCTCAACCCGCAGGCCCAACACGTAACCTGGGGGTTTCGAATGGGTGAAGGGCAAATAAGATCACTAGACAACGGGGAGTGGGCCAATAACTGTATTTTATTCACTCCAGTGATTACAAGTCGAAGGGCCGAACGTACTAAACTAGGCTATGAGCTGTTACTGCTATTACAGTGCTAGAGAATCAAAGTGCGAACCTCTCTTAATGAAATAAATGCGACTATTTATAGTTCCCCATGGTGGTTGGGGGGCTGAAGTGGTTGGCTGTGGGCGACATGATCCCAACCACCAAATCTTCCGCATTTAATGCGCTTCCCGCCAGGATCCTGGCTTCCCGCCATGATGTGGGGACGTTCGTCCCCCCGGCTGGACTCAGCCCTCTGGTGGCAGCTTGGACCCTTGGGTGGTAAACCATAAGACGTTCGTCCACTGTCCCTTGGGCTCTGAAGCTTGGCTACGCTGGGCTACGTACGTCCCCTGGCCCTTGGGCTCTGAAGTTTGGCTACGTTGGGCTACGTACGTCCCCTGGCCCTTGGGCTCTGGAGCTTGGCTATGTTAAGCTACGTACGTCCCCTGGCCCTTGGGCCCTGGAGCTTGGCTATGCTGGGCTACGTATGTCCCCTGGTCCTTGGGCCGTGGAGCTTGGCTATGTACGTCCCTAGGGGTTGATGGGCCGCCCCTTGTTGGGCCATTAACCCAACACAAGTCCCCCACTTCTGATGTTCCGAGCGTGCACGGGACATAAAGAAGTAAAATAGCTTCTGACGTACCGCCTCGAGCCGTTTCTTCCCTTTCCTCGAAGTGACGGTTGCTTCCCCGCCGTAGTTCGCGGGGCTCTAGGTGCCAGCTATCAGGCCGGTTCAACTTTCGACGCAAAAGTAATCATTTCGTACCAGCCCGTCTCTACGTGACACGCATTCCTGGGTACACTCCTTGCCACGTGTCACCTGCGGGTTGGCCACTGAACATGTGCTTCCCCTTATAAATACTGGGATCATAGGAATGGTTAGGGCTTTCCATCCTTTGCTTCCTTCTACATTCCCAGTGCCGTCCAGCGAGTGTCTCTAGTTTCCACGTTCATCCCTCTTCCAAGGTTCCGCAAGGTAATTCTTCGATCCAAACCCTCCCCCTTTGTTTTCGTAACCCTCCCCATGGCCAGTTCCATGGAAATTTCCTCCGATTCGGAGATTGGTTCTAGTTCCTCTACCGGCTCTTCAGCCGGTTCTTCTTCTGCTACGAAGCCCAGATCCCGTTCCTCAGAGGGAGCGAGTGGTTCTGGCCATTCCAGTGTTTCTTCAATTGCGGTCCCTGAGGCAACAGTTGATGCCGCGATCCCATATGCAAAGGAGCATGTTGACAATTGCGATGGTGCCGCAACCCGCCGCGGGGGTGGGGCATTCAGCCAATCGCGATTCTAGTGAAGAGGTTGAGGAAGGGGACGATCTCCGGATATATGAGCTCGGCGTCCCCATGGATCAGCACCGGCACATAGTGCTCATCTCCAATATTGCCGCGATTGAACAGGTCTTCTCTAGGAGGGCCCTGAGGGAACTGCAGATTATTCTACCTCCACCTACTTACTACAGCCTCCGGGGTGCGGATAACCTTTTCATGAGACGTCCAGGAATGGTGATGGTGCACATGGATTCCATAAAAGCCGGATTGCGCTTCCCGCTCCACCCGTTTTACCTTGACTTTTTCGAGTTTTATAGTGTTGTCCCGGACCAATTTAAGCCAAACTCCTACCAATTGATCTCTGCATTCCTCGTTCGTTGTAAATCGCTAGGGCTCACCCCTAATCTGGAGCTCTTCCATTATTTCTTCCAAGTCACCCCTCAAAACGCCGACGGGTTTCTGTGTGTGGCCGCTCGTCCCAAAAAGAAGCTTTTCGAGGGGGCTCCCACTTCCATTCATGATTGGAAAAATCATTTTTTTTTCATTCGCTATGCGGACGAGCGGCTTCCTGCGAGATGGAACGGGTATCCTCCGAAGACTAAGACGTCGGAGCTAACCCAGGAGTTGCAAGATGCCGTGGATAAGCTAAAGCTGGGCAGCGTTAGAAAGCTGAAGGAACTCTTGACCATCCAGGCACTCTCTGATGCAGGGATAGGTACCACCCGTGATCCCTGGACTGGCATTCTCTCATGTTCATCTTGTGGGCCCGGGCGGTCCATTCCTTGAGCTGAGTGCCTTTGTGATTCGCACCGCCCGGTACTAACGTTATTTCTTTGTTTCAGGTCCTCCTCCTACTCAAGAACAAATGGATAGTGCTACTATGGTGGCTCGTTGCGAGGCCAAGGCCAACAAGGAACGGGCGGCGCTGACGAAAGCTCGTGAGACCGCCCAGTCTTCTGGGGCCACTTCGTCTGCCGCGTCCCATGCGAGTCAGCGTGTTGCTGAAGCGGAGCGGCTTCTGGTTGCTAAGGTGACTGGGCAGAATTCTGAGGCCCATCACCCTCAAGATAACCAGGTCCTGAATGTGGACCCGCTCGGCGTTGGTATCCCCGCTGGTGAGGAAAAAGACAAGGGAAAAAAGCCGAAGAGGCCGCGTCTTGAGCCCTCCGCTCCCAAGCCCACGAACGTCGTGATGCCCTCCGCCGTCCATCCGGTTTCTGAAATCTGGAAGGACATGGCCCTTCAGGCCGGGCTGGAGTTGTCAGATCGTTCTTCTGGCGATTCCGTTGATCATGCTCTGCTTTTGAACCTTGAGGTACGTTCCTCACGTTTTCCCTCCGTCCCTTGATCCGCCATTCGTCCCCTCCTAACCCACTTTTATTCCTTGTAGGCTGGGCTAATCTTGTTGCGGGCAAGGGCCACTCGGGAGAAAGATCTTGCCGAGCTCAAGAGAAAAGCCGATGCGGCTTTAAAGAAAGAGCAGGAAGCCGTGCTGCTGCGGGAGGCTGCTGAGGCGGAGATGAAGAAGGTTCAGGCTGCCCTGTCTGAGGCCCAACAGGAACTCCAGGCCGTTCGGACTCAGAGCCAACAGGAGAAACAGAGCCTGCTTTCCAAGGTGGCCCTGGCTGAGAAGCACGGGATTTCCTTTGTTCCTGCCGCAGATCCTACCCTGCATCCTGAGGGCGAATCCCCTCCCAGCGACGTTCTGACTCTGGTCCTTAATGTGGAGGAATTTAAGAAAACCACCCAATTCCTCCAGGCCGCCCATGAGTATTGTCAGGGAGCTGCTTGAGAAGTTTTCGAGGCCGAGCTGCAGCCCGTGCCTGAGAAGGATCGCTTGTCTCATGGGGTGCGGCTTTTGGAGAAGATTACGCTCGGTGGTGAATGGCTTGCAGAGCTTGCTGATGATGCCTTTGCCAAGGGATATTATGAAGGTGTCAAGGCCCTCAGGAGTGTGCTTCCTCTGGCCGGCTGTCCCTTCTTCAATGTGGAGGATTACACGGAGGGGGCTGAGCTTCGGCGGGCCATGGGGAAGATCGGCCGAGATGAGCGGCGTACAGAGGGCGTCCAGAGGGGTGAAATCTCTGATCCCCCTACTCCCGAGCCTCTCTTTGACGAGTTGGACGAGCCGCAGACCTCCCCACGCTCCCCCATGGTTTCCTTGCGTGATTTGATTAATCCCATCTGCTCATTTGTATGTTCCGGCCAGCAGAGCCGAAGAATAAAACTTTTTCTCTCCCTTTATGACTTGCGGTCTGCTTACTTGTTCATAACTCCCTTTGTCCATTCCCCGCTTTCTCTGGCGAGGGACGACTCTTCTCCCTCCTCTCATGAACTCTTTTCTCTTCTTTCTTTTATCTTTTTTTTTAACGAGGAATGACTCTTCCTTCGTCCTCTCATTCTCCTCTCTTTTATCATCTTCTTCCCTCTCTCGGTCGTACATCTCGTTGTGGGGAGAATGATTCCGGCGCATGCCACTGGTGGCGTGGATTTCGAAGCGTTGCGCCAACCGTAGGATACACCAAACACGGTCCGCCACGTGTCTTTCCCTCATTCGGGCGCATGCGGTGGTTTTTGCCTATAAATACTCTATCGCCCAAAGGGGGAATTACTCTTGGTCTTTACTCTGCCAGATTATTTTCTCTCTCTAGATCTCCATCTCTTCCTTGTAAGTCCTGTACTTTTCATCCGTTCTTGCTATGTCTTCCATTGTCCCTAGGCAATCTGCCGACGGCCGTCCTGGAAATTCGTCTGATGACGGTTATAATTCAGGGGACGACCTTCCGGTCTATAAGCGTGGGATGCCCCCCAGCCTCCTCGTTTCTCCCTTAACTTTCATCTCGTTCGGCGTCAGCGCCAACGTCAGCTCCTTAGCGAGAAGAATCTGATTCCCCAGTTGCTTCCCCCTCCACGGGGTTGGGACGCACGGTTCCTCCGCCATCCTATGCGGCATTTACCTGGCTATGTGGTCGTCCATCTGGACTCTGTGGCAGCGGGCTTTCTTTTCCCGTTGTTGCCTTTTCACATTTCTCTTTTCAGGGGTCTTGGTATTGCCCCAACTCAACTCGTTCTTAATTCCCATCGGATTCTCGCTGGTTTCATAATCCAGTGCCACAATGTGGGGGATGAGCCATCCGTGAAATTGTTTTTGCATTTCTTCCGGCTCTCCCCATACAGCCAGACATGTTATCTTAACATAGTGGCCCGTTCGTGGAGGGTTCTCTTTTCCAACAACCCCCCCCCCCCCCCAATCTGAACAGCTGGGAGGAGAGATTCTTCCTTGCCGGGGTTGATCCCCCCCCCCCTTCTCCGACCGGTGGAATGCTTTCCCTGTTAAGTTTGAGCCTCCGGTTCTCCATTCGGCCGAGCTGGAACAGGCTGCACGTATTGCCGGTGAGGGGGTCCAGAACCTGCGTTTGCTGGTGAATGATACCAACTTGGGCAAGGTCGGCATAGGTACGTCCTCGCTGTGGCCCGAGTTTTGGACTCTCTTTTTGTGAATCCCGGACATTGTTTTAACTTTTTACATCTCCTTTGCGCAGGACTTTACCCCAGGTATTTCTCCATGGTTCCTCACACCCGTGCCACTCCCTCCTCCGGCCGGGCCAATGCTAGCAAGGGAAAGCAGATCGTTGGTGAGGATCAGGGCCAAAAGAGGCCCAAATATGAACCCGTCGGGGACGAACAGTCCCCCCAAGAAGTCCCGCCATGGGGAAGGATCCTCCAAGGCCGTGGTGATCCTTGATGGGTCAGATAATGAGGCCGACTCTCCTCCTAGACCGCCCCCGTTACTTCGTTGGGAAAAAGCTCGAGCGACCCTCCTCCGCCCGGTTCCGAGGATTCCTTTTCTGACATCATTGGGTTCTCCGGGTTGGGTCCCCGTGCGGAGTCGAAAAGACTGTTTGGTCAGACGGCCTCTTCCATTTGGTGCTCTTTGGGGTTAAAACTCCCTCGTGACTTTGCCGCTCGTGAGAGCGCGGTGGATCTTCACGAGTGCGGCCTTAGCACTCTCAACAAGGCTGTTATTTTATTTTGCAAGGCGCGATTTGCCTATGAAGCTCAGGAGCGTGCTTCCGCCCAGGTGCGTTGTGAAGCCGATGATCTGGTGAAGAAGGTCAAAGAGCGCCTGAATAAGATGCAGCAGGACTTGAACGTTGCTCTTGGGCTTGCTAAGGGGAGTGCGTCTCTTCAGGAGACGGTCAAGAAACAAGCCGAGGAGCTGCAGCTGCTTCGTGCCAAAATGACCGCCGTGGAGAAATCCGACGTGCAGCTTCGCCAAGTTGGTGTGGAGGGGGCCGTCCCTGTTTTTGAGGCTGATGTTTCCAAAATCAAGGAAGCTGACTCCATTGAGTTCCAGAAGTCCAGAGCCCACGTCGATGCCGTGAACGTCCGTGTGAAGGAGCGTCTTGCCCAGAGCTTCGGGGAGTTCCTGGCTAAGAGTTCTGATATGCTGAAGGACGGCATTGAGCTGGTATCGGGGACCTCCGCCGGCCAGGAGTTCCTTGCAGAGCTTGCCGACGATGCTTTTGCTAAAGGGATGATCGGCCTTTTAGCCGGAAACCTCCCAGCTCTCGAGCGTTATCTCCCCACTCCGTTTGATCCTGAGGCTGCTGGTTTCAATGCTTCGTTTGCTGAGGCTTATGAGGAGGCTTTGAAGGAGAAGTCTCCGGCGAAGGACGACCCCTCTTGTAGCTGAGTGAGTTTGTCAAATTCTGCTTGTCGGCCGCACCTCCTGGCTAGCAGGCCGCTCTTCCTAAAGAGGCTAATGTTGTTAAGATGGCTTACTTCACCCCTCACGCCTTTGGGTTCATATAAAGCTCTTACAGGCATATCTATATTCAAGGATAGCTCCCCGAGGCGTGACAACTTCAGTTATTTTGTACTCTTGATTTCACTCTGAACTCGTGTATGTTTGTGTACTTTCCGGCCGGTAGAGCCGATGAATAAAGTGTATTGCTTGCTTGCTATGATCGCCTTTTAACTTCGTCCCTAGTGCCTCCCTCTTTTCTCTCTTTTTTTTGAGAGGTCTTCGATTTCGTTCTGTCGTCTGCTAGTCTTACCTACCCATTTGGCCCGGTCCTTTGGATCCTGAGCTGGGCTCGGCCGCGATTGTGACGCGGGATGGGTTTATCTCCTTTGGGGATTCCCCGGTCTTCGTCTCGTCATCCGTTCGTCTTACCTGCCCATTTGGCCCGGTCCTTTGGATCCTGAGCTGGGCTCGACCGCGATTGTGATGCAGAACGGGTTTATCCCCTTTGGGGATTCCCCGGTGCCTCTTTTTTTGAGAGGTCTTTGACTTCGTTCCATCGTCCGCTCGTCTTACCTATCCATTTGGCCCGGTCCTTTGGATCCTGAGCTGGGCTCGGCCGCGATTGTGACGTGGAACGGGTTTATCCCCTTTGGGGATTCCCCGGTCTTCGTCCCATCATCCGTTCATCTTACCTGCCCATTTGGCCCGGTCCTTTGGATCCTGAGCTGGGCTCGGCCGCGATAGTGATGCGGAACGGGTTTATCCCCTTTGGGGATTCCCTGACGCCTCTCTTGTTTTTTTGAGAGGTCTTTGACTTCGTTCCGTCATTCGCTCGTCTTACCTGCCCATTTGGCCCGGTCCTTTGGATCCTGAACTGGGCTCGGCCGTGATTGTGACGCGGAACGGGTTTATCCCCTTTGGGAATTCCCCGGTCTTCGTCCCGTCATCCGTTCGTCTTACATGCCCATTTGGCCCGATCCTTTGGATCCTGAGCTGGTCTCGGTCGCGATTGTGATGCGGAACGGGTTTATCCCCTTTGTGGATTCCCCGATGCCTCTCTTGTTTTTTTTGAGAGGTCTTTCGCTTCGTTCCGTTGTCCGCTCGTCTTACTTGCCCATTTGGCCCGGTCCTTTGGATCCTGAGATGGGCTCGGCCGCGATTGTGATGCGGATCGGGTTTATCCCCTTTGGGGATTCCCCGGTGCCTCTCTTGTTTTTTTGAGAGGTCTTTGGTGCGGTGGTTGTACCGTTTGGATGGTTGGTACCGCTCGGCGGGGAATGTTAATCTCCTCCGGGAGGCTCGTAGTGTTCCTATGACGATGATGTACACCATGATTTTATCGTGGAAACCCGGAAAGGGAAAAACCACGGGACTTTTTGGGCTAATGTCCAAGCCTGCTTGTTTTCATTAATTCCCGTTGTTACATTGTATGAACATAAACTTCCTTTTTGTCTCCCCCCCTTTGGGGGGGGGTCCTACTGGTAGAATTTTTTCAGGTGCTCCACATTCCATATGCCAGCGGAACGTCCCTCCATAGTTTGTAGGAGGAACGTCCCCGCCGCCAATCTCTTCTCGTATACCTTGTACGGCCCCTCCCAGTTTTTGGCCATCTTGCCGCCCTCGAGCGGCTTACTCTTCTCCTGCTTCCGCAGAACCAAATCTCCGGCTTCGATTTCTCTGATTTTCACCGCCTTATTGAAATACCTTTCAGTCGCCTGGTGATATTCTTCCATGCGCCGTGCGGCTAGATCCCTTCTCTCCTCAATAAAGTGCAACTCTGCCCTTAGATTTTCTTCGTTCTGTACTGGGTCAAAGTGCAATGGCCGGTGTGTGGGCACGAGTACCTCGGTGGGGACCTTGGCCTGAAATCCGTATGCCAGTGCGAACGGTGTTTCCCTGGTCACCGTCCTTGGAGTTGTCCTGTACGTCCACAGGACATAATTCAGGTGCTCCGGCCAGGTTGAGGAGTAATCTTCCAATTTTTTCTTTATGCCATCCATGATGGTTCGGTTCATATTTTCCACCTGGCCGTTTGCCTGCGGGTACGCGACCGAGGCCCTGGAATGCCGGATTTCCCATTTGGCCAGATATGCCTCGAAACCTTTGCCAACGAACTGCCGGCCGTTGTCCGTAATGATCTGTTCTGGGATGCCGAACCGGCATAATACATTCTGCCATACGAAGCGTTGACATCGGAACTCAGTGATGTTCTTCTATGGCTCGGCCTCCACCCACTTGGTGAAATAGTCAATGGCTACTATTATGAACTTCTTGCCGTCGATCGTCCTGGGAAAGGGCCTCAGCAGATCTATCCCCCATCTCGTAAATGGTAGGGCGACGGTCATCGGGGTGTAGAAGCTGGCCAGCCTTCCCGGTATAGGTGCGTACTGCTGGCATACTGCACACCTCTGAGTGTGGTTGAAGCAGTCTCGCTGGATGGTTGGCTAGTAGTACCCCTGTAGGATGATCTTTCTCGCCAGCGTTCGGGGGCCCTGATGACTAGAACAGATGTCCTCGTCGATTTCCTCCATGACTGATGCCGCTAAGTCCGGTGGTAAGCATCTGAGGTATGGTCCGCCGAACGTCTTTTTATATAGTTCACCCCCGATGACCTCAAAACTCGCCGCTCGTCTTTTTATCCACGGGCCCTTCTGGAGTTGCGTCCATCTTTCTCGAGGGGGGGGGGGGGGGGGGGTCCATCCCTGAGATAATCGGGTACCTCCTTCACCCAGCTGGGATCTGCATAAGAAACATCATTTACCTGGATCGTCTCCGTCGCCGGTCAGAGTAGCGTTACCTGTCTAGCGAAACTCCGGATGTGTTTCGAGACGGCCGGCGTCTAATCCTCGGATAGGGGGTTGCCTAGCTTGAATAGGATATCAGCTTCGGCGTTCTCTACTCGAGGTACCAGGTCTATGATCACTTGTTCAAACTGCACAGTCTGCTCCTCTGCCAGCTCCCTGTAAGCTTTCATCCGCTCCTCCCGAGTTTCAGCGGTGCCGTTCATCTGTGTAACAACCAACTGGCTATCCATCCGCACCTTCAGACGAGCTGCACCGAGGGCCCTCTTGTATTTCAATCTTGTGATTAGCACCTCGTACTCAGCCTCGTTATTGGTGGCTTTGAACTTAAAATCCATGGAGTAATAAGCCTTGAATCCCTCGGGGGAGGTGATGACCGCACCCCCCCGCATCCCTTTGCGCTTGCTGCCCCATCGGTGTACATTCCCCACCAGTTGTCAAGGTCGTTGCCGCCATATTCCCCATCCTCCGTATGTGCCGTGCATTCGGCAATGAATTCCACGTTGTACTACCCGATCATCAAGGACCATTTCGTAATCCTCCCACTCGCCATTGGGTTCCTGAGGATAGTGGCCAATGGCTGAGTGGTGAACACCGTCACCGGGTGTGCCTGGAAGTACGGCGCCAAGCGCTTTATTGCTGCGATCAAGGCCAGGATCATCTTTTCCATCAGTTTGTACCTTGTCTCCGGGCCGTTCAGCACCTTGCTAACGAAGTATATAGGCCGCTGAACGCCCTCAACCTCCTTCAACAGGACGGAGCTTACCGCCATATCGGCTACTGCCAGATACATGCACAGTTGCTCCCTGGGATCCGCCTTGGTAAGGACAAGCGGCGAGGAGAGGTATGTCTTGAAATCTTCAAAGGCTGTCTGACACTCCGGGGTCCATTCAAATGGACTGGCCTTCTTCATGATCTGGAAAAAGGGGATTGCCCAATCAACTAATTTTGACATAAATCGGCTTAGTGCCGCCAAATGCCCAGTAAGCCTCTGCACATCCTTCAAGTTTTTGGGAGCCTCCATGTCCATGATGGCCTTCACCATTTCTGGGTTAGGTTCGATCCCCCGTTCGCTCATCATGTAACCAAGGAATCCCCCCTCCCCTGACAGCAAAAGCACACTTCTTCGGGTTTAGCCTCATGTTTGCTCCCTCCATGATGGTGAAGACCTGTTCCATATCTTGTACGTGGTCGGCCTCCTTCTTTTTGCTCTTGATCAGGATATCGTCCACGTACGCCTCCATGATCTTCCCGAGGACTTCCTTGAACAATATCCCGATCATCCTCTGGAAGGTCGCCATTGCATTCCTCAAGCCGAATGGCATGACCACATAGCAATACACCCCGTCTGATATGACGAAGGCAGTTTTTTCAGCATCGTCCGGATGCATGAACACCTGATGATATCCCCTGAAGGCATCCATGAAACTAAGCAGCTCGCACCCTGCGGTTTCATCCACCAACAAATCAATCCTCGGAACAGGGTAGGGGTCCATTGGGCACGCTTTATTGAGATCGGAGTACTCGACGCACATCCGCCATGTGGTCCCCTTAGGTGCTAGGACGACGTTGGACAACCACTCCACATGCATAACCGTCCGAATGTGGCGTATGTCGAGCAGGGTGGTGACCTCCACTTTGACGAAGTCCCTCCGTTCGACCGCCATATACCTTTTCTTCTGTTGTACGGGTCTGGCATCCGGCCAAACGGCCAATTTGTGACAGATGATTTCTGGATCAATTCCTGGCATATCCTCCGGCCCTCTGGCAAACAAGATCTTGAACCTCTGGAGGATCAGGATCACCCCTTCCCGGATTTCTGGCTCTAGGCCCGTCCCAATGGACACCTTCCGATCAGAGGGGTCATCCACTTCCACTTCTTCCAGTAGGGTAGCTGGCTCTGGTCGGGACATGGCCTCCTCCTGCTGGGCTGTCTCCGCTATGCTGTTGACCCTCATGTCCCTCTCAGTCATCTTCTTCACCGCTTCCTTATAACATGCTCTCGCTGTATCTGGATCCGTACAGGCCACGCCCACCCCAGTTTCCGTGGGGAATTTTATACAAGAATGTCGTACGGAGCAGATGGCCTCGAGGTCCTCCAATCCGGGTCGTCCCAGAATGGCGTTGTGAGCGCATTTTAGCCGCATTACCACAAACGTCATGGGGATCGTCGCCCTATGCTCTCTGTCCCCGATCTCCACTGGCAGGACGATCGTCCCTTCTGCATCAATACTGTGGCCGGTGAAACCAGTCAGGGGTGTCCGTAGGGGGCTCAAATCAGCCCTGCTCAGATGCATCTTCTCGAATACATCCCAGTATAGGACATTGACACTGCTTCCCGTATCAACTAGGACTCGTCGGATTATCCACTCCCGGATATCCATGCTGAATACCAACTCATCCCTGTGCGGTCCTAGTGATTGTGGTAGATCTGCTATCCCGAACGTGATGGGTTCGGCCTTATGTTTTTTGGTGGGAGGTGCGGAAATGGAATTTATTCGGAGGGCCCTCTCGAACTTCTTCCTCTCCACCGGGGTATCCCCAGTCTCCGCCCCTCCGAAAATCATCTTGATTTCCATTTTCTTCTTGGTGCCTACCGGCCCGAGTGATGCCTATGGTCGCTTGCCGCTATGATGGAAATCCTCCTCCTTGACCCCAGCCTCTCGCCGATCATCCCGGCGCCAGCTGTAGGGCCTCCTATGCTGCTGTGAGGGGCCCTGGTATGCTCCTCCCGTGGTGAACTCACCTAGATACCCCCTCTCAATAAGCTGCTGGATGGCATACTTCAGACTTTGGTAATCGTCTATACGGTGTCCCTGCTTGCGATGATATTCGCAGTAGGCTCCCGCGTCTATGCGGAACGGGTTTATCCCCTTTGGGGATTCCCCGGTGCCTCTTTTTTTTTGAGAGGTCTTTGACTTCGTTCCGTCGTCCGCTCGTCTTACCTATCCATTTGGCCCGGTCCTTTGGATCCTGAGTTGGGCTCGGCCGCGATTGTGACGTGGAACGGGTTTATCCCCTTTGGGGATTCTCCGGTCTTCGTCCCGTCATCCGTTCATCTAACCTGCCCATTTGGCCCGGTCCTTTGGATACTGAGCTGGGCTCGGCCACGATAGTGATGCGGAACGGGTTTATCCCCTTTGGGGATTCCCCGGTGCCTCTCTTGTTTTTTTGAGAGGTCTTTGACTTCGTTCCGTCGTCCGCTCGTCTTACCTGCCCATTTGGCCCGGTCCTTTGGATCCTGAGATGGGCTCGGCCGCGATTGTGACGCGGGACGGGTTTATCCCCTTTGGGGATTCCCCGGTCTTCGTCCCGTCATCCGTTCGTCTTACCTGCCCATTTATCCCAGTCCTTTGGATCCTGAGCTGGGCTCGTCCGCGATTGTGATGCGGATCGGGTTTATCCCCTTTGGGGATTCCCTGATGCCTCTCTTGTTTTTTTTGAGAGGTCTTTGGTGCGGTGGTTGTACCGTTTGGATGGTTGGTACCGCTCGGCGGGGAATGTTAATCTCCTCTGGGAGGCTCGTAGTGTTCCTATGACGATGATGTACACCATGATTTTATCGTGGAAACCCGGAAAGGGAAAAACCACGAGACTTTTTGGGCTAATGTCCAAGCCTGCTTGTTTTCATTAATTCCCACTGTTACATTGTATGAACTGAAACTTCCTTTTTGTCTCCCCCCTTTGGGGGGGGGGTCCTACTGGTAGAATTTCTTCAGGTGCTCCACATTCCATATGCCAGCGGAACGTCCCTCCATAGTTTGTAGGAGGAACGTCCCCGCCGCCAATCTCTTCTCGTATACCTTGTACGGCCCCTCCCAGTTTTTGGCCATCTTGCCACCCTCGAGTGGCTTACTCTTCTCCTGCTTCCGTAGTACCAAATCTCCGACTTCGATTTCTCTGATTTTCACCGCCTTATTGAAATACCTTTCAGTCGCCCGGTGATATTCTTCCATGCGCCTTGCGGCTAGATCCCTTCTCTCCTCAATAAAGTGCAACTCTGCCCTTAGATTTTCTTCGTTCTGTCCTGGGTCAAATTGCAATGTCCGGTGTGTGGGCACGAGTACCTCGGTGGGGACCTTGGCCTGAAATCCGTATGCCAGTGCGAACGGTGTTTCCCTGGTCGCCGTCCTTGGAGTTGTCCTGTACGTCCACATGACATAATTCAGCTGCTCCGGCCAGGTTGAGGAGTAATCTTCCAATTTTTTCTTTATGCCATCCATGATGGTTCGGTTCATATTTTCCACCTGGCCGTTTGCCTGCGGGTACGCGACCGAGGCCCTGGAATGCCGGATGCCCCATTTGGCTAGATATGCCTCTAAACCCTTACCAACGAACTGTCGGCCGTTGTCCGTAATGATCTGTTCTGGGATGCTGAACCGGCATAATACATTCTGCCATACGAAGCGTTGACATCGGAACCCAGTGATGTTCTTCAATGGCTCGGCCTCCACCCATTTGGTGAAATAGTCAATGGCTACTATTATGAACTTCTTGTCGCCGGTCGTCCTGGGAAGGGGCCTCAGCAGATCTATCCCCGATCTCGTAAATGGTAGGGCGACGGTCATCGGGGTGTAGAAGCTGGCCAGCCTTCCCGGTATAGGTGCATACTGCTGGCATACTGCACACCTCTGAGTGTGGTTGAAGCAGTCTCGCTGGATGGTTGGCCAGTAGTACCCCTGTAGGATGATCTTTCTCGCCAGCGTTCGGGGGCCCTGATGACTGGAACAAATGCCCTCGTGGATTTCCTCCATGACTGATGCCGCTAAGTCCGGTGGTAAGCATCTGAGGTATGGTCCGCCGAACGTCTTTTTGTATAGTTCACCCCCGATGATTTCAAAACGCGCCGCTCGTCTTTTTATCCACGGGGCCCTTCCGGAGGTGCGTCCATCTTTCTCGAGGGGGGGGGGGGGGTCCATCCCTGAGATAATCGGGCACCTCCTTCACCCAGCTGGGATCTGCATAAGAAACAGCATTTACCTAGATCGTCTCTGTCGCCGGTCGGAGTAGCGTTTCCTTTCTAGCGAAACTCCGGATGTGTTTCGAGACGGCCGGCGTCTAATCCTCGGATAGGGGGTTGCCTAGCTTGGATAGGATATCAGCTTCGGCGTTCTCTACCCGAGGTACCAGGTCTATGATCACTTGTTCAAACTGCACAGTCTGCTCCTCTGCCAGCTCCCTGTAAGCTTTCATCCGCTCCTCCCGAGTTTCAGCGGTGCCGTTCATCTGTGTAACAACCAACTGGCTATCCATCCGCACCTTCAGACGAGCTGCACCGAGGGCCCTCTTGTATTTCAATCCTACGATTAGCGCCTCGTACTCAGCCTCGTTATTGGTGGCTTTGAACTTAAAATCCATGGAGTAATAAGCCTTGAAGCCCTCGGGGGAGGTGATGACCGCATCCCTTTGCGCTTGCTGCCCCATCGGTGTACATTCCCCACCAGTTGTCAAGGTCGTTGCCGCCATATTCCCCATCCTCCGTACGTGCCGTGCATTCGGCAATGAAATCTGCTAGCGCCTACCCCTTGATCGTTGGCCTTGGCTTGAATTCCACGTTGTACTGCCCGATCATCAAGGACCATTTCGTAATCCTCCCACTCGCCATTGGGTTCCTGAGGATAGTGGCCAATGGCTGAGTGGTGAACACCGTCACCGGGTGTGCCTCGAAGTACGGCGCCAAGCGCTTTATTGTTGCGATCAGGGCCAGGATCATCTTTTCCATCAGTGTGTACCTTGTCTCCGGGCCGTTCCGCACCTTGCTAACGAAGTATATAGGCCGCTGAACGCCATCAACCTCCTTCAACAGGACGGAGCTTACCGCCAGATCGGCTACTGCCAGATACATGTACAGTTGCTCCCCGGGATCCGCCTTGGTAAGGACAAGCGGCGAGGAGAGGTATGTCTTGAAATCTTCAAAGGCTGTCTGACACTCCAGGGTCCATTCAAATGGACTGGCCTTCTTCATGATCTGGAAAAAGGGGATTGCTCGATCAGCTAATTTTGACATAAATCGGCTTAGTGCCGCCAAACGCCCAGTAAGCCTCTGCACATCCTTCAAGTTTTTGGGAGCCTCCATGTCCATGATGTCCTTCACCTTTTCTGGGTTAGGTTCGATCCCCCGTTCGCTCATCATGTAACCAAGGAATCCCTCCCCTCCCCCCCTCCCCCCCTTGACAGCAAAAGCACACTTCTTCGGGTTTAGCCTCATGTTTGCTCCCTCCATGATGGTGAAGACCTGTTCCATATCTTGTACGTGGTCGGCCTCCTTCTTTTTGCTCTTGATCAGGATATCGTCCACGTACGCCTCCATGATCTTCCTGAGGACTTCCTTGAACAATATCCCGATCATCCTCTGGAAGGTGGCCATTGCATTCCTCAAGCCGAATGGCATGACCACATAGCAATACACCCCGTCTGATGTGACGAAGGCAGTTTTTTCAGCATCGTCCGGATGCATGAACACCTGATGATATCCCTTGAAGGCATCCATGAAACTAAGCAGCTCGCACCCTGCGGTTTCATCCACCAACAAATCAATCCTCGGAACAGGGTAGGGGTCCATTGGGCACGCTTTATTGAGATCGGAGTAATCGACGCACATCCGCCATGTTGTCCCCTTAGGTGCTAGGACGACGTTGGACAACCACTCCACATGCATAACCGGCCGAATGTGGCGTATGTCGAGCAGGGTGGTGACCTCCACTTTGACGAAGTCCCTCCGTTCGACCGCCATATACCTTTACTTCTGCTGTACGGGTCTGGCATCCGGCCGAACGGCCAATTTGTGACAGATGATTTCTGGATCAATTCCTGGCATCTCCCCCGGCCCTCTGGCAAACAAGATCTTGAACCTCTGGAGGATCAGGATCACCCCTTCCCGGATTTCTGGCTCTAGGCCCGTCCCAATGGACACCTTCCGATCAGAGGGGTCATCCACTTCCACTTCTTCCAGTAGGGTAGCTGGCTCTGGTCGGGACATCGCCTCCTCCTGCCGGGCTGACTCCGCTATGATGTTGACCCTCATGTCCCTCTCACTCATCTTCTTCACCGCTTCCTTGTAACATGCTCTCGCTGTATCTGGATCCGTACGGGCCACGCCCACCCCAGTTTCCGTGGGGAATTTTATACAGGAATGCCGTACAGAGCAGATGGCCTCGAGGTCCTCCAATCCGGGTTGTCCCAGAATGGCGTTGTGAGCGCATTTTAGCCGCACTACCACAAACGTCATGGGGATCGTCGCCCTATGCTCTCCGTCCCCGATCTCGACTGGCAGGACGATCGTCCCTTCTGCATCAATACTGTGGCCGGTGAAACCAGTCAGGGGTGTCCTTAGGGGGCTCAGATCAGCCCTGCTCAGATGCATCTTCTCGAATACATCCCAGTATAGGACATTGACACTGCTTCCTGTATCAACCAGGACTCGTCGGATTATCCACTCCCGGATATCCATGCTGATTACCAACTCATCCCTGTGCGGTCCTGGTGATTGTGGTAGATCCGTTGTCCCGAACGTGATGGGTTATTGCAAGGCTGGTAGCTAAGGGTTATTGCCAAGAAGAAGGAATAAATTTTGATGAGACTTTTGCACCAGTTGCCAGACTGGAAGCCATCAGAATATTTCTAGCCTATGCTGCCTACAACAACATCAAGGTCTACCAAATGGATGTCAAGAGTGCATTTCTGAATGGAAATCTTGAAGTAGAGGTTTATGTGGAACAACCACCAGGTTTTGTCATTCCTACTCACTCCTCCTGTGTCTACAAGCTTGAAAAGGCCCTCTATGGTCTTAAGCAAGCTCCCAGAGCATGGTATGACACATTGTCCCTATTCCTAGTGAACCATGGGTTTACTAAGGGAATGGTTAACAAAACTCTATTTAAAATCTCTGTTGCTAATCATATTCTGTTAGTACAAATATATGTTGATGATATTATATTTGGTAGTACTAATTCAGAACTATGCAAGAAATTCTCTCAAGTGATGCATAGTATATTTGAAATGAGTATGATGGGAGAACTCACCTACTTCCTAGGACTACAAGTCAAACAAGTTCCAGAAGGAATCTTTATCAAACAAGGGAAGTATACCACAGACCTGATCAAGAAATTTGGAGTGGAAGGCAAATCCTCAGTGAAGATTCCCATGAACACCTCACAAGGAATTGGTCTGGATGATGAAGGAAAGGATGTCGATGCAACTACCTACAGAGGAATCATAGGATCTCTGCTGTATCTGACTGCAAGCAGACCGAATATCTCATTCTCTGTTGGAATCTGTGCCAGAGACCAATCAAAGCCCAAGGAGAGTCATCTTAGTGCTGCAAAGAGAATCATCAGATATATAAAAGGAAATCCAAATGCAGGCCTATGGTATCCAAAGGGAGGTAACGTTGAACTAGTTGGTTACTCTGACTCAGATTTTGCAGGTTGCAGATTAGACAGGTAGAGCACCTCTGGTCACTGTCAAATGCTAGGAGGAAGACTTGTTTCTTGGTTTAGCAAGAAACAGAACTCAATCTCAACAAGTACAGCAGAAGCTGAATACATTGCAGCTGGGAGTTGCTGTGCTCAGCTACTATGGATGAAGCAACAACTGAAGGATTATGGCATTCAAGCAAAGGAGATCAAATTGCTTTGTGACAACACCAGTGCCATTGCCATCACTCAGAATCCAGCTCTTCACTCCAGGACAAAGCACATTGAGATCAGGCATCACTTCATCAGAGATCATGTTGAAAAGAAGCACATATGCATGGAAAATGTGTCAACAGAAGACCATCTTGCAGACATTCTGACAAAGCCTCTGCCTGAGGCTAGATTCAACAAACTGAGAGAGGAATTGGGAATGATGGATGAAATTCCAAGAGAAAGGTTAGAAGGAAGGCCTTCTGTTGCATACTCTCTGCTAACGGAATACCTGTTGCAGAACTCTTCTGTTAACCCCTTCTGTTCTCTATCCTGAACAGAGAACCTCCGCTCCTGACAGAACACCTCAGCAACAGAAACCCCCCCTTTTTTCTCTTACCCTCAGAAAACCTTACCTTTAACTGAAGGTTGTGGACTTAGAAATTATTTTTAGAAACCGGGTGACCTAGTAACTTAATGAAGGTCTTTTACCCTTTTACCCTCAAACGGTATAACAGCCGCAAAATATTTATTGCGCCCCCATTTTTCATTTATTGGTACCTTGGAACTGCCAATAATCTCAAACGTCCACTAACCCGTACCCATATATTCTCTTAGTTTCAACCTAAACCGCTACTGCTTTCATTACTCTCAAGCTTTCGAATCCTTATCTCTCTAAAAACTCTCAACCGCTAAATCCGGCTATGGCTTTCTTAAACTTCACCGACCTCTCCAAGGAACAAAAAGCAACTCTGCTCAAGAATGTGTTGACAGGGATGAAGTGCGAACCGGAAGTACTACCCAGATATGCAGAAAAAGGAGAAAGAATGACTAACATCATTGAAGGCCTGACAGAATGTCAACTGAGCAAGGTCATCTCCTACACATATGAAGTCTACAGCAACATAGATATTGTTGAATTCTACCTCAACGCGTTCTACAAAGATGAATCCATCACCTCTAGAGTCCAAGGAGAAGATATACTGGTTGACGCTGACGTCATCAACAAAATTTTTGACATTCAACTAGAGGAAGGCAGGGCCTCTCTATTTGATCTGGAAGAAGCTGACATCACTGTTCCTGAATTCAAAAGGAACTACTGCAGAAAAGGTGAAGAAGTGGAAAAAGTGAACATCAAGAAACACCTGCTCAAGAAGGATTTTGAGCTGCTCATTAACATTTTCCACAAATGTTTATGGTGCAAGTTTACCTCCACTGATGATGTCACTACTGCAAATGCAAAGGCCCTCTATGCAGTACATCATGGAGTAAACGTCAACTGGGGACAAGTTATGGTACGGTCCCTCATTGAATTCATCAAAAAGAAGAACCCCAAGACATGCCTATATTCTGGGAAGTTAGGCCATGGGTTGCTCATCTCTGAACTGCTTCTCAATCAAGGTGTCACCTTGAGGAAGACCATACCTCTGGATCACACGAAGGTAATCTTTCTATCTGCATCTCCAAATAGAGAAATTGCTATCAAGGCAGAACTCAAGAGACAGCTTCAGCTTGATAACAAGAGACAAGGGAGAAGAAGAAGAAGAAAAGGGAGAAGAAAACACAACAAGTTGCACCTCCTCCACCCATGAAGGCTGCACTTAAGAGGAAGAGAACCACAAGAGCTAAGAAGAAGGTCATCAAACCTTTAATCTCAGTGTCTGAGAAGGTAGCAGACACTCAGGGGGAACCAGAGAACCCCACCTTTGTTGCCACCCCAGAACAGAACCGGGTGCCAACATCACCAGAACACCCTAATACAGGCAAAGAAGGGTATCTATCCTTACTGGATAGACAGTTTGATCGAGTACTGGAATGGAGAAGATGGAGGATGGGACCCCTCCATAAGATCATCCAATACTTTGACCACTATGAGCCTGAAGAAGAGGCCATACTGAAGTGGGTGGGCACTGATGATGTCTCAAAGTGCTTTGACCTCAACTTCCTCCATTCTGTCCTCGAGAAGAAGAAGGCAAGTTACAAGGGAAATGCTGTTCTCATATCCACCTCTTCAGAGGAGACAGTCAAGCCTCTTGAAGATGGAGAGATAGAAGCCTTTGAAGAATGGCTATTTTCCAAGAAGGCGAAAGAGTCTGTGCAACCTCACTCTACACCAGGAGAATCCTCTGCACCCAAGATAGAAGAGCATGCTATGATGGAGCTTATCAAAGAATGGAGGCCATCCCCGGTCGAAGAAAATGTACTTGAGGTAATCTCCCCAACCCCCTCTGCTCATATCTTAACAGAACCCCAAATCCCCTCTCTTCTCATTCCAACAGAAACCATCCCAACAGAAACCCTTCCTACAGAGAACCCTCAACCAAAAACAACAGAACAGAAAACCTCAACCTCTCCTCACTCATCAAATAAGAAAACCAAATCACCCTCCACCCGCAAAGAATTAATCCCAATCAGAAACCGCCCCCCCTCTCCTCCACCCCCTCCTCCTCATCAGAACACACCTCCACAACAGAATGCCTCCCCTCACCAGAAATCCTCCCCCAACAGAAATCTAAATCATTCTCTCCCCAGCAGAACCCAAACCATATACAGACTGCCACCCTTCAGTCTCAAGATCCTCCTACTATGTCTCCTGTTCCAGCACCTCGCGGCTACTCCAGAAATTCCACAGCCTCCAATCCCTCTTTCAACAAAAAGTCTCATGTTGTCAGAAACACAATACCAATCTACTCGTCCTATGAGGACTCCTCAAGCATGGGTGGATTCATTGTCAGCAAACCTCATGAAGCCTCATCCAAGAGACAGAAGACCCCTCCCTTGACACAGCTTGAGTATGAAGCTCAGCAACAGCAAGCCTGATCTGCAGAAGATAACATTTCTCGAAGGGCTCCCATGCACAAATCAAGAGGACTGGGGATGCCTGGTTTTGAAGAATCAGAACCACAAATTCCTTTCAACAGGTTTGTTGAAACTGCAGAAGAGTTTGGTGGTCAAGTACTGGAAGGAATGGACAAGCTGATCCAGATCAATGACAAGCACTTCGAGCACCTCTCTCATGTGAATGATAACCTGAACTCTGGGATGCAATTCATCTCAGAACGCTTTGCTAATCTCACAGAATCCCTAAATAATTTCATGGCCTCATCCTCTGCCAGAACAGATGCACTGTCAACAGAAGTGGACAATATTCACAAGACTCTCTCCATCTTTCATCAAACTTTGCTGGATCAAAGAAAGGCCTTCAGCACCATATCTGAGAACCTTGAGACGCTGCAACGATCTGATCACAGGACTAAGAAGCAATTGCTATCCAATGAAGAAATGTTCAAAGTCCACCAAGATCAAGCTCAACATCTCCTCTCTGCTGACAGAGAGATACCAGAAGATGGTCCTGCTGGAAGCGAACAACAAGGATATCTTCTCTGCTATCCAGAAGCAGCAAGGGCTGATAGAAGGTCTCACTTCTGTCACTCAGACTCTACCAGAGGCTCTTGAGCAGATAGCCACCTCACAGGCCTCAGAGTTCCAGAAGATCAGCCTCATGCTAGAGGACCTCCATGATGCCAAAAAGGGGGAAGAGGACCCTCAATAGACTAAGCCTCGGTCCACCAGAGCCTCTGCAAGAGCATCCTCCTCTGCTGAACCAACTGTAGATCCGGCACCCTACTTTGAAGCTGCCATACAGAAAAAGAGAGCAGCCGGTATACCCAGACCCCCATCTCCAGTTAAGAAGGGCACCAAGAAGAAAAAGATTCTTAGTTTTACTGATTGGAGATTGGGTGGATCCCAGAAAATTGATAGAGTTCAATTTGAAGAGATGAAAATGAAAATGACTCTCACACAACAACAAAACCTCTTCTTATATAAGGATGGTTTTGTACGAGTCAGACATGGGGGATCCCTAGAAGAAGCAGAAGATTGGTACCAGAAGAACATTGTCCCTGGCAAGACAATTCATGAAGGAGTTCTTAGCTACTTGGATTGCAAGCTATCTCCTATCTGGGAATCCTATCAAAGCTCTGGTAACCTATCTCAGATCAGAGCAGAAATCAATGAAGAATTGCTAAGGCTTCAAAGACTGGAGGATGAAAATCTGCAAGCAGCTACTATGGAGAATGTGTAAGGAATCTTTTT